GCCCTCCCGACCGGCGCGCAGGCGCAGTCCGCCCCCTGAAGGGGGGGCTGGAGGACACACGCCATGGCGACGGCGGCGTTCGGGGCCTTCTTCCCGGCATGCCTCGCGCTGCAAGGCGGCCCTGTCCCTCCCTCATTCGCCCTCCCGACCGGCGCGCAGGCGCAGTCCGCCCCCTGAAGGGGGGGCTGGAGGACACACGCCATGGCGACGGCGGCGTTCGGGCCCTTCTTCCCGGCATGCCCCGCGCTTCAAGCCGGCCCCGCCCCCCTTTCCCCGGCCGGCGCGCAGGCGCAGTCGAAACACGCGATGGCGGCGGCGGCGGTGGCGGCGGTGGGGGGGCGTCGCGGCTCCTCTTCCTGCTCGTCTCCCGGCGGGGGCGGCGGCGGCGGCTCTTCCTCGTCCGCCGGCGGGGGCGGCGGGGTCGGCGCCGCCTCCCCTTCGCCTCCCTTGGCGCCCTCGTCGGGCCTGGCGCTGGAGGCTCTGGTGGGGCTGCTGCTGCCGCCGCCGCCTCACCCGGGAGCCTCGTCCCCGCCGCCGCCGCCGCCCCCGGGGCTGGCCGGGCTGGTGCGCTGCGCGCGGGACTGCGGGGCGCAGGCGCAGGTGAGCGCCCGCTCGCTCGGGTTAGCCTCTGCGCGCGTGCAGAGCGCCGATCTCCTTCCCTCCCCCCCCCGCCCCCCGCCGCCCCCGACCTGAAAGTCTCTCCCCCCCCGCCGTCCCCTTGCAGGCGTCGCCGTCGTCGCTAAGCAGCCTGCTGGTCCTGAGCAGCGCCCGGATGGGCTCCATGAAGACCCGGTGAGTGCCCCCCCACCCCCGGGGGGCCTAGAGGTCTCAAATCGAGAGGCTGGGAGTTGGATCCGAGGCTGATCTTTGGAATGGGATCCCCTGGTCAAGCAGGGGGCGGGGTTGGACTAGATGACCTCCAAGGTCCCTTCCAACTCATAAGCTGATTTGAAGGAACAAAAGGACCAGGGGAGACAGGAGAGGAGCCTTCCGATATTTGAGGGCGGAAGGGGGTTGGACTAGATGACCTACAAGGTCCCTTCCAACTCTGTTCATCTGATTTTAAGGAACAAAAGGACCAGGGGAGGCAGGAGAGCAGCGTTCCAATAGTTGAGAGCCGGGGTTGGACTAGATGACCTACAAGGTCCCTTCCAACT